ACATTGTGGGCGTCTATGATGCCAAAGCCACGGGATTCGTGCCCGGTGGCGCGAGCTTGCACAACATGAATTCGGCACATGGTCCCGATGCAGAGACGTTCGAAAAGGCTTCGAATGCGCCACTCAAGCCAGCCAAAGTCGGCGAAGGGAGCATGAGCTTTATGTTCGAATCCGCCTACCAACTTGCAACCACCAAATATGCCATCGAGTAAGTCGTCGTCGCCGCTCCCTCAGCCACTTTGATCCGAGCTCCATTGCTGATGCCTCAAATGCTCATTCTCTGCTTCTCCTTACAATCCACGCGCAACGCTACAGGGAGAGCGGCAAGGTGCAGCAAGATTATTGGAAGGCGTGGGCTGATCTCAAAAAGAACTTCCAAGGATAGGACGACGAAGACCTACAAGCGTGGCTTCGACACTTGCAATTCCAGATCCGATTCCGATGCTGACATTACAGCAGCGCGAGGCGTGTGACGTCGTATTGCTGACAAGGGGACTGCTTAGGCGGCGTGCACCTCGCGATGGTGGTGCCTAAGCTCGACAAAGTGGCGGCCTTTGTCCAGGGCCACGTCGGCGGCCTTGCCCACGGCGCCCATCGTCTTCTGCGCAATGCCGCCCGACTGGGGAGCGGCGGGGTGGGGTCGAGTAGGGGCCAGCTCCCGCGCGCGAAGGAAGTCGTTGACCGCCTTGCACTGGTCGTTGTCGCTAAGCGCCTCGACCAGACGCGGCAGCTGCTCCTTTTCCTCTTCCTGTCATGCCATCAAAACGAAGTGTGCGTGAGTATCGCATGTTGCGAAGCGGTGTGTAGGAGGAAAGGTACATACGTCGGCGTGGCGAAGGAAGAGCTCGCATGCCTCGACGACGCGCTTGGCATACTCGTCCAGACCGACGGTGGAGATGCCGTGCGAGTCCGGGTTGGCCATGAGCTGCTTGACCTGCTGGTGCTCGTTGCGGTCCTGCTCGGCAGTAGAGTGCATTCCGTGCTGGTCCATCATCTTGTAGATCGACATTTCCTACCATCCCGAATCCAGAAGACGACAGGTCAGGCGGAAGCTTCTTGCGTCAGTGTTGCTTCGGATGTACGTACCTCGGCATCCGAATGGACGGCAGCTTCGTGAATGATCGTGTTGGCGACTGTCAAATGCAAGCAGTCAGTAAGTCAGCCGGCAGGATCCCGAGCTCGTAGCGGGCCTTACTGTCGGTGCAGAGCGCGTCGTTGCGCTTCTGATGAGCGTCCTTGAATCGATCCAGCAGGTCGCGCATGTTGTCGTGATCGACCTGCATCACACCAAGACATCCAGCGTCAGTGCCAATGCCAGTGCGGCTGCGCGTGGCGACTCACCTTGATTTCGTTGATCAGGTTGAGGTTCGACATGGCGGCGGTGACGATGGTTGGCGGGATGGCGATCCGAAAGCTGTGGAAGCAGAGTGGTGCTTGCGAGAGTGAGACAAGTGTTGCGAGCGGCAGTACTACGAAGAGGCCTATCAGAAGATGACACGGCGATGGAGAGGGGTCCGGGTTGGAGGTTGCCAGTCGAGGTGCGATTATATACAGCTAGGTCCTCCTTCCCAGCAGTCTGTTCCTACCAGCGCCATGCCTCGTCCGAGGTGGGGAAGCAGGAGGACTGAGCTGACAGAGCGACCAGAGAGATCCTGAAGCTGTTGGCGAGTGCGTAGCACAACGACGTCTCTGCTAACGGTTCTCCTCGCAAGAGATGCCCGACCAATCACAGCGCGTGGGTTGGCAATCCGACGACAGCGACGACAGTACGCTTGATCCAGGAAAGAAAGCTGGGAAGCAGGCAGGATGCGAGTGTGGCAAGGCATGGTCGCTCGTTCTCCAGGGTCGGTGCTGTAAGTGGCTGCTTTGCGCAGTCATCATCGCTCCACAGGATCAAGCTGCCAGCTCGTCGCTGCTTCTTCAAACGCGGGCGTGTGCATGTTATGATCGCAGAAAGGCGACGGCGATGGCGATGGCGGTCGCGTGACACGGTCGGCCGTTGCTGCGATGGACGCCCGCAAGTGTCGTCGAGTGACAAAGGCGTTGCGCACCGTGGCGCTGGACCCTGAGTCATTTTTATCGTTGCAGCCTCGCGTGCTCAGTCACGACTCACACATCCGCGATGGAGGTAGGGACGGCGAGTGACGGCCGCTCAGATGCAAGCGCATGTGAAGCGGGAACAGCTGCATCTGGCTCGTGCGAGTGCGACAGTCAGCATCGCTCACGGAAGAGGAAGAGGCAGCTCAAGCTCAGCCGGACAGTGTTCTGGCCGAGCGTCGAATGCAGGGTCCAACGTTCGAGTTGGTGGGAGTTGGGGCTCCAACAAGATCTCACAGAATCCGCTCCGCCCCGCACCGTCGATTCGGCAAAACCAAATCAAGGACGCCGCCATCCATCATGCCCAACAGTCCACCTCGTGCCAAGTCCTTCCTTCTCTCACACTCGCACTCGCCCGCAACACCACCAGCCGACTTGGCGCTGCTTCGTTCGTAGGATGCTGTGGTGAGACTGGCTTCGATCCCAATGCCATGTTTGGCCTCCCTCGCCGTGCGACTCAGCAGCATCGACCATCCGCTCATCCGGCTCGACATGCCGCGCAAAAAGCCCGACGACTACGAACGCGTGCGAGGCTCGAAGGCCTGCACGTTCTGCTCGCGACGCAAGATCAAGTGCAACGGCCTCGAGCCGTGCTCGGCCTGCGATGCTCGCTCCATTCAGTGCGCCTATCCACGAGCCAAGAAACGAGGGCCTCCGTCCAAACTCGAACGCCAACGCAAGCAGAACCTAGAAACCGAGGCCTCGCCCTCTGAGTCGCCATCTTCACCGTCGAGCTCCATCTCCCAACGTCATCAGGCTGCCACCGAACTGCCAAGCACGCAAAGCAAACGCGCGCGCTTCGAACCATTCGATCGTCACACCCATGGCGGTGCTTCTCCTCGCTTCAAATCGGCGCTCGAGAGCCTTGCGGACATGGCGCAGATCTCGACAGCACCGTCGCCGCGGCGAGAGCCTTCGACGTTCGCGTTCGACGCCTTTGCTCTGACGGCTTCACTCGGATCCCAGCTCAGCACCAGCAGCGCATACTCGCCGTTCTCGAGTCATGGCCAGCACGCTTCGATCCCCTCCACAGCCAGGTCTGACCTCGCCCCGCCCGTGCTGAGCGACCGCACCTTTGAGGCAGACAAAAGCCTCGCATTCCAGCCCGCCGACGTCTCGTTCGAAGTTGAGGCAAACGTTCCGTCGCAGATGCAGAGTCCGGTGCACGAGCTCAGCACGCAGGTCGTCGACCAGCTCCTCACCATCTACCAGTACTTTGTCCACCTGCACTGGCCGATCATCTATCTACCTTCGCTCAGCAGCCTGCGTGTCTTGGCACAGTCTCATCCGCTGCTTTTCCATGCGGTCCTCGCCATGGCAGCAGGCACGCAGGACAGTTGCAATTCCGCCTCGCAACACACTCATTTTGGCGTCGCCAGTTCGTCGGCGTCGTCTCCTTGTGTATGCCCGCCGGGAACAGCCTCGAAACTGGTGCGATATCTCAAGCAGCACGTCAAGTCGCATCACATGGCGCGAGACATCGAGACCGTACAAGTGCTCATCTTGCTGGCGCTGGTGGAAATAGGTGGGGGCCACTCGTCGGACGCGCATCTGCACGCGACGATGGCATGCACCTACGCCATCGATCTGGGTCTGCATCGGCATTCTGCAGCACTGTCATCGGACCAGTCGGCTGGCCGTGCCCAGGAGCGTTCAAGAGTGCTGTGGGGCTGCTATGTTCTGGACAAGACGCTGGCCGCCGCGCTCGAACGTCCGATGATGCTGCGAGCCAGCGACATCGAGGTGGAGCTGCCCTCGACGGACGAGAGGGACGAGTACGACATCTTTGTCAACGACCAGTCGCGCCACTTTGTCGCTCCGGACAGGGCAGCGGGCATGGCGGATGTCAAGTGCCGATGCATCTCGTCGTTCCGTGCCTCTTGTGACCTTATGATGATCCTCGAGCGCATCCTCGTCGATGTCTACAGCCCCAAAGCGCGACGATCGCGTTCTGATGGACATTGCGAGTCGTATCTGCTCGCAGTCGTCGAGATCGACGGGGTGCTTCGGTCTTGGAGACAGCATCTGTCGTCGCATTTGCAGTGGTCGTCGGCGGACAGCGGTGGTGCATGCCTCTCGTCCTCGCTCTTCCCAGGCAAACACCGGGTCAGTCAGTCGCAAGGCGAAGGCGACGTTCAAGACAACGTACCGCCCCAGGTGCTCACGATGCGCGCGTGGTACTCGGCGTGCATGCTTCTCCTGCATCGACCGAGGCTCGCACTCGATCAGAGCGTAAGGACGAAAAGCTTCATATTGCCACCCGACGGCACGGTGACACCAAAGTCGCCGCCTCGAGTATCGGCACAAGATGCCTCTTCGGACGACAGCGCAAGAACAGCCGCGAAACGTGCTTCCGCAGACACGTCGGCCAAGAGCAAGCAGAAAGACGTGCTTGCGATCTCGGGTTCTAAGCTCGTGCGAGCCGCTGCGACCGAGATCTGCAATCTGCTGCCCAAGTACCGATCGACATTCAGCGTTCGGCGCATCCCATCCTCATGGGTCTATCTCATCTTCCAAAGCGCCGTGATCCACTCGAGTTTTCTGGAGCGCGACGAACCCAGTTCAGCATTCGATGGCGAAGCGCTAGAGGCCCACGAGGATCGAGACGGAGCGGAAACCACGGGCAAGCGGCGGTCGAACGACAGCAAGCGCCTGTTCCAGCAATGCATTCGGAGTCTGGAGCAAATGTCGCTGACATGGAGAGGCGCGAGTCATCATGTTGCCACTCTGCGACGAGTAGCGCAGTCGTTCCGCATCACGCGGCCTTCGACGCCCACACCTGCGCAGGAGCTGCTTTGTGACCCGCCGAACATGCTTGTCGGTAGCGGTCCCAGCCAGGCTCCGGTCAACGATGGCCTCGCATCCTTCGACATCTCGGACGCGGTAGCCAACCCGATCTCGGTCTCAATGCCGGCAGCCATGACCCCCACGGAGATGCTTACCGGGTCGGTTGGGGCACAGAACGGCAATGCAGCGGCGACCCTCGACTGGCCCGACTTTTGGAACCAGATGCCCGCGTCGAGCGAGGACGTGTGGGTGTGGCAGCAGTTCATCAATGCCTTTGGCAACGCTGCAGCCTAGAAGCGCTTGCCCTTTCTCGTCTCCTCGGTCCAACGAAATGACATGGCAAACGGCAGAGCGGTTAATTACCCCACGTCCCCGGGTTTTGAGCGGCGAATTTGATATCCGGCAGATGGTCCGCGGTAGAATTGCGGAACGAGTGCGGGGAATTCGGTCCTTCTAGGGTTACACCGGGGATTTAGCCGCTATCGCACACACGGTTGCCAGATCTTGGCGTGACTCGCGCAACGCTCTGCACTGAAAGACAGACATTACAGACTTCAGCATCGCCACGTGCTGCGCAGAACGCTCGTTGAAGAGATGTGTGAGATGGAAAGCTGCGACATCTATGCGATTCGGGAAGAACGAGGGAGAGAGGCGGAGGATTCGATCCTCTGAAAGCATGCCGGGCGGGACGCTTAAACCTTGGCAGCGATACGCAAGGAGACAGGACGGGCAAGGGCCCCTCATCGCTCGCCGGCAAAAGCAAACGGCCGCCAAAAGCCTCTTTGGCTGGCATGAATTTCGATGGAAGGCACGGACTGCGAAATTGCGGGGGGCGGGTCAGCAGGCCAACCAAGTACGGATCAACTCGCTTCGCCGTCTGTCAAGCTTGACTTTGACTGCCAGTGCAGGCTCGAGCTTCGGCTGCTTTGCAATCAGGCCCTTCTCCGCTGGCCCTCGCCGCCGCCTGACCCGTCCCGGCGTAAGGATGTGCTCCGTGCGATATATAGCAAGCCGGGCCTTTTCTGCAGCCTCCGCCTTGCCTCCTGCAACGACCCCCAAGCTCGCACAGCTCTCGCAAGGAACAAAACCGCAACTGGCACACGATGAGGTTCGAGCTTTCGTCCGAGAATCTGGCCAACGTGCCTCACGTCGCCTGGCTCGGATTGGCGCTCTTCGTCGCCCACTGTCTCTACTCGCTGACGAAGCGGCCCAAGATCAATCTTCCCGGACCGCGGGGCTGGCCTTACGTCGGCAACCTCTTCCAGCTCGGCGAAGATGCAGCACAGACATACTACAAGTGGTCGAAACAGTACGGGCCCGTTTACAAGGTCAAGCTCGGCGAGCGCGAGGTGGTGATTGTCAACTCGGCGCAGGCGTCTAAGGAGCTGCTCACCGACCTGGGCAGCATCTACATCAGTCGACCGCTCTTCTACACCTTCCACACGGTCGTCTCTTCGACGGCGGGTTACACGATCGGCACGTCGCCGTGGGACGAGTCGTGCAAGCGCAAGCGACGTGCGGCGGCTACGGCGCTCAACCGCGTGGCTGTGCAGAGCTACGTGCCCATCATCGATCGCGAGACGCTCTCGCTCGTCGAGGACCTGTACTCGGCCAAGGGCAAGGCGATCGCGCCGTTCGCCTACTTTCAGCGTCTAGCGCTCAACGTGTCGCTGGTGGTGACGTACGGATCGCGTCTGGACAAGGTGGGCGACGAGCTGCTCGAGGAGATCGTCGAGGTCGAGACGCACGTGGCCAACTTCCGCTCGGTTTCCAACTCGCCTGCCGACTATCTGCCCATCGTACGCTACCTGCCCAACTTTGGACGCAACGGCAAGGCGTTTGCCAGCTCCATCCGCTCGCGCCGCGACGTGTACATGAAGCGACTGCTGGACGACCTCCGAGACCGCGTGCAGGCCGGCACCGACATCCCCTGCATCACCGGCAATATCCTCAAGGACCCCGAAGCCAAGTTGACCGACCTCGAGCTCTCGTCGATCTGCCTGTCCATGGTGTCTGCCGGCCTCGACACGCTCGCCAACACGTTCATCTGGTCGATGGGCTTCCTTGCCAAGCGACCGGACATCCAGGAGAAGGCTTACAACGAGATGTACAAGGTGTACAAGGGCGAGATTCCCAGTTCCGAGGAGGAGACGGTTGAGTACATCACCGCGCTCCACAAGGAATGCTCGCGTTACTTTAGCGTTCTCAAGCTTGCGCTGCCCAAGGCCACGCTGGGCGACTCCAAGTACAAGGGCGTCGACATTCCCTCTGGTACGACGGTCTTCCTGAACGCATGGGCGATTCATCACGACGAGGAGCGCTATGGCGACGTGGAGAACTTCCGACCCGAGCGCTTCCTCGAGGCCGGCGAGGAGAACAAGCAGGCGCACTACTCGTTTGGAGCTGGCCGACGCATGTGTGCCGGTGTGCATCTGGCCAACCGCGAGCTGTACATTGCCTTTTGCAAGGTGATCCACTTTTTCAAGATCGAGCTCTCGCAGGATCCCGCCGAGCAGGAGTACGACATCAACCCGGCCACCGGCTGCGCCAACCCCAAGGGCCTCAGCTCGACACCTAAGCCGTTCAAGGTGCGCTTTGTCCCGCGCGACCCTGCGACGATCGAGCAGTGGATCGAAAACGAAAAGTCGCGCACAGAGTTGCAGATGGCCACCAGCCTCAGCAACAAGTAAACCACCCCACCCTCCTGTGTTCATAGGAATGGCATCTCTCCACTCGCATGTTGCAATCGATTGAAATCTCGGACTTTTTCGGCTGGCTTGTCTTGGTGAGAAACGCTTGAAGTTTGCGCTGCTCCAGGCATTCGTAGGCCGATGTTTTGTGCGGTGTGAGAACTCTGACTTGCCCTTGGTCGGCGGGATTTTACCGTCCAATGCGGGGCGACGCACCGACGTTTTGCCGGCTAAAGAACCCCGCTTTTGGCCGGCAAATCCAAACAGCATCTCCGCTCCTTCTCGACCCATCTCGCACGGCCGCCATCCTCGTACATACATGTACTATATCTAGCACTCCCGTCCAACTTGCTTTGGTCCGAGCTCGACGCCGACACCCTCGCTGCGATGAAGTGCATCGTCGACTACCCAAAGGACCATCCGTTTCCGATCCAGAATCTGCCCTATGGCAGCTTCTACACCGCCGGCGACGCTTCAAGCCAGCGGTGCGGCGTAGCAATCGGCGACTACATCCTCGACCTCCAGGCGCTATCGTATACATCGCACTTCCCGCCTGATCTCGACCGGGATGTGTTTGCTGTACAGCCGACTCTCAACGCCTTCATGGGTCTGGAAAAGCAAGCGTGGCTGCAGTTCCGCAGCTCTTTGCAACAGCTTCTCTCTCAACCCTCGGAGCTGAGTCTCGATGCCACTGTGACAGCTGCGGATGTCGAGACTGGCATCGCGCTGCCCGAGCACATTGGGCGTCGTCTGTTCGTGGACCGGCTGGCGCAAGATACGGTGCCGTGTCTGCCGTGCCGTATCGGCGACTATACCGACTTCTACTCGAGCCTCGAGCACGCCTACAACTGCGGCGTGCTCATCCGCGGCAAGGAGAACGCGCTCCAGCCCAACTGGCGTCATCTTCCCGTGGCGTACCACGGCCGAGCCTCGTCGATCGTCCCCTCTGGCACACCGATCCATCGACCCGTGGGACAGATTCTCGACAAGCCGGGCGACACTGCGCCCATCATTGCTCCTTGCAGAAGACTCGATTTCGAGCTCGAGGTCGGATTCGTAAGTGGCAGAATCGCCCTGTACTGACGTGGAGAAAGAGTACTGATGATGCGGTTGCTGGGGCAAAGTTCCTGGGTGGACCGCCTACGAAACTGGGCCAGCGACTGTCACCAGCAGAGGCGGCGGATCGCGTGTTTGGCGCGGTGCTGCTCAACGACTGGTCGGCGCGCGACATCCAGACGTGGGAATACGTGCCGCTTGGTGAGTCGCATGTCGTGCATCACAAGCTTCGTTCACTGTCTGACGCTGATTTGTTTCGGTGTGCTTCGCTGGGGACAGGTCCGTTTCTGAGCAAGGTAAGCACCTCCTCCTATACGTGCATGAAGGACAGTGCTCTGACCAACGAAAATGGGGCACTGGGATTGCGGTTGGGTACAGAACTTTGCAACGACCATCTCGCCGTGGATCGTGCCGGTGCACGCGCTCGAGGAGTTCACCTGCGCGGGGTACGACCACCAACCTCCGCTGCAGCCCTACCTTGAAGACGGCTCCAATACGAACTTTGACATTCCGCTCACGGTAGCCCTTCGCCGTATGTACCTGCCACGGTCTGCGTTCGCCCAGACTGGAGAAACTGACAAGCTTCTTTTTGGGGGGGTCGGAACAGCATGCGAAAGTGACGAGGCTGGGGAGGCGGGGTACAGGGTGATTTCGCACTCGTCGCTGCGGCACACGTACTACACGGTGCGCCAGATGATTGCGCACCATTCGACCACCGGCTGCCCTCTCCACCCGGGCGATCTGCTCGGCACAGGCACACTCTCGGCCCCTGGTACCGAGGGGTATGGTTCGCTGCTCGAAATGTCGCACATGGGCCGCCAGCCTTTCGGCGTGCAGAGTGCGAGTGGCGAGGTGCAGAGGACTTTCCTCAACGACGGCGATACAGTCAAGATGTCGGGCAAAGCTGTCTCTCAAACTGGCGAGTATGCGATCGGGTTAGGAGAGTGTGTCGGCACCATTCTCCCCGCCATTCCGATGTAGAGCAGAGCAAGAAGATGCGGATCCATTACGAGCGAAGTGCACAGCTGTGGGAGTAAGAAGATTCGGAGGTGTTCTGAAAGCGAAAGAGTTGAAGCGTCGGAGATGAAGGTTTTCAGGGGGTGACGATGCCGGAGCAGGTCCTTTTGCCTACTGCAAAGGGGCGGGCGTAGGGCATGAGGTCGGGCTCGCAGTTCTGCTTTGGACCCGCCACGATGGCTGCAGCCGCCGGCGCCAGGAGCGCAGCCGCGGCGACCTTTTGCTCGGGAGTCAGATCATTGGCGGGAAGAGGGTTGCAGTCCGTAATGCCATAGTCTGCACTACGAGCCTGGCCCGTGGTGGAGCGCAGGGCGGATCGACCGACGACGTAGGAGAACTGCGAGGTGAGCGAGCCTGCATGGTCGATGACGAACAGCGGCCCACACACAGCCTGTGCCTGGACGTTCTTTCCGTTGAAGAGGTAGGATGAGTCGAGTGGCGAGTTGGACACCTGAGGCTGAACGATCTCGTCGGTCGCCGAGTAGAGGTTGGTGGTGGGCACGATCTGGGTCAGACCACCTGCGTTTCGGAGTGCGGTAGTGAGTGCCGAACCGGTGGTTTGCTGCCATACGGAGGGTGCACTAACCGCGAGTGCATCGAGAGGGCCGGCGAGGACGGTGCCCTTGTAGTCGGGCGCAAAGGCCATAAGTCGATCGACCTTGGACCTGATACTGGGGAAGAAGGTCAGACCCCACTGTGCAACCAGACCACCCTGGGACCAGGTGAGCACGGGAAGCTTGTTGTTGCCCGAACCAGCGTAGAGCGTGGTGATGGCGTTGACCATGTACTCCGTGTTGACCTGGGTGTCGTTGAGCATGAACGGCGGGGGTGAGATCCAGCAGGGTGTGTAACCCAGCTGCGCAGAGAGGGGGATCCAGTTCGAGTCGAACGACTGTGGACCTGTGGTGCCGGTTCCGGGGACGAGAAGGATGGGTTTGGAGACCGAGGATGGCGAAGCACCCTGGCAGGTCAGACCCGCATCGAGCACCGACTTGGGCTGCGAAAAGGCAGGGTCCGAACCGGAAGGCAGACGCTTCACCAAAGGAGTGGCTGCAACGCAAGTCGCAAGCACACCAGCCACACCGGTCAGAGAGAGTAGCTTCATTGTCGATCGCGTGCGGAGGGGTTGTATGGCTTGATGGACGTTCTCGGGTCTTCACTCAAGCCAGTATATATACGCCAAGAGGGTGCGTTGGACCATTGACAGGTTCGGTCCAAAAGGTCACGAGCGATGGTTCATACGGATTGGCGCTAGGCACAATCTCCGCCAGACCAAGGCTATGGATGCCGAAGCAGATGCATTGTTGATTCCCCGCGCCCTCGCCAAAAAGGGTGCAGGGCGATGCATTACCGACCCTGCCGTTGGGGTGAACCGATCTGTACGCCGATCATCATGTCGGCTCGAATCGACTCGGCAGAGTCGAAGCGATTGAGTCTTGCCTAGTCCCTGGTGCGCGATCAATACTGCGAATGGCACGCCGCGACTCGAGTCCATCTGTTCGTTCAACCCGCTTGCTCGCCGTCGACCTTGGCCATCCTTCAAGCCTCTTGGTAGGGATCCCCGTTCAGCTGGCAAGATTCCCACCGCCCATTTTTAGTATGGTTTCAGCCCAAACTCCGCCCCTGGTGCAGCGATGACTGGCCTGGGCATTCCAAGCGTGCGCGGCAGCTCTGGACAGCCCGATCCGCGCTAGTGCTTCGGGCGGGGCAAAATGAACAACAGCCAAACAAAAGAAATCCAAACACCAAGACCATTTCGGCCCCACAAACTTCATCAGGCAATGCGCCGCTGGTGTATGCGAGTTTCGCTTTGGTCTGAACCCCCGCCTCAAGCAAGCAGCCCCAAGGGCCCCTCTTGTGCGGGGTAACCAAGCCCTTCACCGTCCAAGAGCTACCTCATCCAGCATGCAAATCCCTTGCACTGCGCATTCGTTCCCACCGCTCACCGCGCACTTGCGTGAAAGCTGCGCAACACCCCCCCCCC